AATTGAATTGAATTGAATATCTTCCTCTCTTTCTGATCAATGGCACCTGTGATCCATTGTCTACTATCTACCCTGTCCTTGAACGTCTCATAATTCCCTCTAAGTGTATTCACATTTTGTAAGAGTAAGATAAATCCTGTTATGGATAGTGAATATCTAATTATAGCAATCTAAGAAAGTTCCCACATATTTCCAAGAGGATCTTTTAGTTCGATGAGCCTCACAAGGCCTCTGGCTGGGAGAATCTGTCACTTACATTCTTTGGACATTCCCACGGCGAAGCACCTCTGGAGCCGACAGTACTGACAGCGGTTCCTGGTGATCTTGTTGATGATGCAGTTTCTGTCTCGGTGGCAGGTGTACACCATGTTTTTCTGCACGCTGCGGCGGAAGAAGCCCTGCAGAGGCAACAGGGAGAGTAAAGAGAAGATATTAATGATTTAAGAGTATGAAAATAATCCTGCCTAAATGTCAATGACCAGTAATTGTTTCAACAGTGTTAGAGTTTATAGTGATTTTGGTGTTTTGTCTGTGTAAATACAGCAATCAATAACTGACTAATGTGACAATAAAACATTCTGTATGAATGTATTATGCATAAAGATATTTCAAAAATTACTGCTGCAAAAAAACCTTTATTAACACTAGAAAACAGTAAAAAGTTACACTTACTTGTCTTTTCTTGTTAGTGTTATGAATGTTATGAAATCTGTCAATAAGATTACAACCAATTCCAATCATCATTTTTAACAACAAAACTACTGTTCTGTTTAAAGTTAACATTTGTGCCTTTAAAAAGCTTGATTTTTCATCAGAAACTTAAATTTAGTTAGAAACACAAAAGAAACCGTACAGTTAAAACACCTACAAACAAAACAAAAATAAAAATGTGAAATTACACAAAACAGATTGTTTACAATAGGAAATTGTGTGTTTATGTTGTCTAGAAGGATTTCAGTATCACTGTAATATTGACTGAACACCATGTTGTTATACACACGTGGTCTATCAGGACAAAGTTCAGAACCTTGTAGTGATGTTGCTGTTTTCTCTGAGCAAACACAGAAATCAATATCTGACTAATGTGACAGAACACAATAAAAACAATCTGTAAAAAGAAACATTATTTAATTTTTTGTGAGCTTTGGAGCCAATGAGACATCTTCCTTTTTTAGAGCATGACACACATTTACACAATGACTGATTGCATGAAAGGAAAACCTCGGAGAGAATACGGTTTTTGTGTTGTCCACTTTACTGGAGCGTAACAGAGGTGATTTCTTTTCAGCGAGCAGCTCGCTGTGAAGTGGACCACGGAGGCCTGACATGTTACCTTGCAGCCCTCGCAGGCGCTGACGCCATAGTGGTAGCCCGAGGACTTGTCTTGACACACAAAACAGGGCTTGTAAGTGCGAGGAGGGGGCAGCGGGGAAGGGGGGCTGGCGAAGTGATCGTCCGAGCTGGAGCTGGAGCTCCGGCTTCCGACTGCTGCAAACACACAATATGACACTCATAAACAGGCACAGCAGGGAGAATGTAACATGCTGTCATTGATATGTTTAAACCAGGAGTCTGAAACTCAAATTGTCTCGGGGCCACTGTTGGTATTCTCATTATGTCGTAGGAGGGCCACTTCACTGTTCAAGTACTACAAGAAAGTGTAATATTCTGAAAATACTTCCAAAACCAGCAAATCAGCAGTTTCTATACATTTTTATATCATCTTTGGTTGTTCGCAGCAACAACAAATGAAGGCCCCCTTTGACATTATTTTGTGCCAAACAAAATACTTTTAAAAACAGAATCTTTATTTTATTTTAATCGTATATGAAAGGGTAGTTTACATTGATATGAAACACAGCCTGTGTAGCGAAAGCAGCACATTATTAGCAGCAGCAGACGCTTCGGTCAGTCTGTGTCACTGTATTCAGTTATGAGTACAGGTCACCACGTTTTGGCAGCACTCAGAGCCTGACACACAAACACTGTAGTTATATATGTAAACGGAGGAAAATAGACCTGAAGCGTAAAAATATGCTCATCACGAGATGTTATGCAGCCTGTGTAGACAACTGGATTGATTCAAATAGGAGTGTATCTGCTTTTAGGACCGATAAAGCTTTGTATTTAGCCTTTCTTGCACTGAGCTTTTATGAATCACTTATGTAACATGTGACTGGTTGTGCAAAATCACAAAAGATAAACCTGAGCTGATAATTCACCTTTATGACACGGACCAACAAATCTGAGGACTCACCTGTAGGCAGCGGTCAATATGAATATTCATGTTACGATTATCCTGGCCCAAATAATACATATATCATCGAGATAAAAATGATAGTATTTACACACATCCTTTGTTGTGGGGGATTCAATGAGCCTTTAGCCACAGTGATAGGTGTAGGATTTTGGAACGGTTCAAGCGCCTACTACTCTTAATCAATAAAGTACTACACATGGGTGAGATAGAGAGCTTTTTCAAGTCACGTGTGAGGATATTTACCTTTATTACAACAGAATAATAATAGAAATTCACCACAATGTACCTATCGGAGTGCCTTTTATTGCGATATGTGATTATATCGAGACATACAAGACACACAGTGCAGTTGAATGACTCCACACAGGTAAATATAAAGACTACACTGAAGGGTAAGACTCTCTCAGACCACAGACGGACGGACACACATCGTCATGAACTTTACTGACCACATGCTTGCTTCCCAGAGGATGAACCATTGACCTTTCTCAGAGGCCAGAATGTCAATATCCACACAGGATATCTACGAGATGGGCGCAGATTGCACTGAACTTTGCTGAGCACATTCATGCTCCCAATGGATTAACACTTAATTTTAATTTCCTGGTGTGATTACTGCTGCCTCACAATACAGATACGGTTCAAGAATAGCTCCATTTTCATTCAACCTCACTCAGAGCTGGGCGTTAATCCAAAGCATGTAAAGTCAAAAGCATCAATACATGGACAGAAATCGCTTATACACTCTATTAAATTAAATATTTATACAAAGATAAAGTGGGTTTGTGGAAAAGTGGAGTAAAAACAGCACACTTTACTAGTTGAGAAGCCGTATTCGTCCGTACAAAGCCTCTGCTGAACTCTCAGGCTGTTCAGTTTCATAAAGCTGCTACGAGATCTTCTTTTGGTTCTTGCTGGGACTTTTCAGTACAGGAATCTTAATCACATTTATTGTTGAATTAGTGGAATAAATGTAGAGCTACATATCTGTGTCCCTCAGGAACGAGGAAACCAAACCTACAGAGTGCATATAGAGGAGGGTGGAGGCTGTATTTAATGTACTAATGTAATTTACCCTCTCTGATAAATACAGCTATTGTAGCTCCTCTTTAACCTCCATTTCCTTCCAGTTGAATGTATAATTTCTCTCCATCATTCCCAACAATCAACCCTCCCACTTGAACCACTGTTTGGAGGAAAGTTGCTCCGGTCTGATGGGACTCAGCCTTCCCCCCGCCAGGCCCTCGGATCACCTCCACCTCCTCCAACGCTGACAGAAAACGAAGAAAGACGGTTTTGAAAAGGGGGACAAAACGAGAAAAATTGCTCATCTACATCCCCTTGAACCCGTGGCCTCCGGTTGAACCTGGAATCAGCGGGTCAAACGAGGACACCCCCCTAACCACCATCGGCCCGAGCGCTCTCCCAACGCAAAACAATGCAGGAGCATGCCACGAGCCCAGCTGACTGATGAGAGGGGAGGAGAGGGAGGGAGAAAGAACCAGGCGCTGTAAGTGATTTGGTCTGGGGAAGGAGGCAAAAGAGGCTGCCACCCCCCCGCAAATCCCAATTTAGGTTGTTTTATTTTAATGTATGTGACAATCGAGAAGAGAAGGAAAGGAAGTTCTAACGGCAGATAAAAGTGAATAAAAGCTGCATCGTGTGGTTGAACGTATTCATGGACGTTATATAAATGTTAGTTAAGAACGAAGATCTGGCCTCTTTTTTGTGTGATCAACCTCATTTTGTGTCGTGCTAAATACGGTAGAAGCTTCTTCTGTTGCAGTTTGTTTTCATTATTGATTAATCTGCTGGTTATTTTCTCTATTAATCTATTATTCTTTAATAATCATCATTTTCCCAGCATCAAAACATCAGTGGAACCTTAAAAGTTGTTTAATTTACTCTTTATATGACCAAGAAAAGCTTAAAATCCTCACATTGGAGACGCTGGAACCAGCAACGTTTATGTATTTTTGCTTTAAAAAAATAACTGGAACTATTATCGATTATCAAAAGAGTTCTGGATTATTTTTCTTTAATTGTTGCAGCTCTACGTTACTTATTTATGTAATTTGTTTATGTACTTTGGTCCCACCATGACATGACTGTATAGTCCACTGTTGAACATTTTAAAAGTTAGATAAAGTTACATTTTTATCTTTTCATGGTGAAAAATTCTTTCATTAAGTCAAAGAAAATGTGCTTTATGTGGATTTTCTTCCCTGTTTCAGCGTCTGAGACATAAAAACAGCAACAGTATGTGGTTGGATGTAACAAAGTAATGTACTTACGTATTATTTTGAGGTTATTATACCTGAATAAAGTCCTATTTTATATTACTTTATACTTTTAAAGTGAAATACTGACCTTCTTACTCTGCTACATCCATCTGACAGCTGTAGTTAAGAGATTTCTTTACATAAAAACAACTTTTCTGTTCATCAAACACATCAAACAATCTAATAACATCACATATAATACATATATTTATTTACATTTGTTGTGCTGCCGCTTTTACCAGCAGCAAAAAGTCTGGCTCTCCTCTGACCTGGTGAGCTGGTGACCGTCCGGTGAACCTGAGCTGACCCCAAACTGACCGGCCCCGTCCACCCCGTCCCAAACACAGACCACCACACTGTCATTCACTCGCTCACATACAGTAACCCTGTCTTCTTTCTGCTCTCCGTATCCCCTTTTCTGTTCCAAAGAAAACCTTTTCAGCAAGAGGAAAACTCGCTGTAGAGCTCGAAAGTGCAAGAAAGTAGAATGAGGGTAACTTTACTTTAACTCTCATCTATGAGGCATTTATAAGGAGGATATAAAACAATTGATAAATGAGTTATAACAGATAGGCCTCTGCTATGAACTGTGTTTTTACTATATTATCATTCATTATGTGTTTATACACCAGCCTCTACTTGTGGGCGCCCACATTACATTACATTACTACATTAAACCACTTATTAAATGTTTAATGCTTGTAAATGTAAAGATGAAAACCAGCTTAATTCAAATGAATATTAATCAATGGATCTACTGTATTAAAGTTCATACATTTATCTCTTTCCTGTTAGTTTTTGTATTTATTTTAATATTATTTTACATGTTTTTTTTTATTTACTTTAGTTTTACACTGG